TCACAGAGCTAAGTTTAAATGTCTCAGGAAATACACCTGTGTCAAGACTTTTACGGAATAAAAGCCATAACGGAAAGCAAAGAGTGTGTCGAATATTAAATAAGAATTCACCAGATAAACCATCAGGATCAGTAGATTTTTTGTTCTTCAGTGGGACAAGGCCATTCATGACATCAGATAAATCAAAGGTGCAATAATTGCAATAATCAAAGGTACTATAATTGTACTATGGTATTATACATTGACTATTTTAAGAAGAACATTTTTTGTCGCCCAGTGAAAATTCCTTATAAAATGCACTGGTATACATCTTATTTCATGTAGTAACTATCATATGGTAGGAACCAAAAAAATTTTTTCTCGCTTCGCTCAAACAATATTCACTATACTTGTATTCACTTATAACCTGATAGAATATTATACTTTCGTATTTATTCTATAATACTTCTACATGCTAAACAAATGGACTAATTATTTTATTAAGTGATTATTGATTTTTAATTTAACTAATCTTCATATCTCTATCTATTTTTAATGTTAGAAAGCACGTGTTTATAGTATAAAATTTTAACATGACATACAAAAAAATTTCAGGCTTCGCTTACATTTTATATCACGTTTATTACTGTCACATTGACAAAAAAATTTAATCAAAAAAAAAAAAAAAAGATCATGGTTACTTTTTTTTTACGTCAGTATTCTCCAAAGACTTATTTTGTTTTCACTATTCGGATCTACATCTGGGTGACATAATTTACTTATATTGTCTTCTGCTGATCTATGATTTATCATCCACGAATTCACATAGTCTTTGGGATCCCACTTTTCTAATGAAAACAAATTTGAATTTCTTATAAAAAAATATATATATATCCGATACCAAATCACGTCATAAATATAACCAAAAGTTTTACTATTTATATTTGTCAAATTACAAGCTATACGTTAGATACGGCTGTACATCCGCGTATCATCAATTTCTCATAAGCTATACGCCATGGATAAAAATAGCATATTGGGTATATGCCGTATACCCTCCAATTCACCACTGGTTATAGGTATTTAGTTTGATATATATACATATATCATACACTAACTCAGTGATCTTTAACCTTTTTCGACCTGCGCAGGTGCATATACAAAAGAATATTTTGGGAGGGGTTTTATGTTGTACATTTTTATAATAATATAATTTATATACCAAATTTACTATATAAAAACATATTTAATCATTTTCCTGAATTTCGGGAGGGGTTTGAACCCCTAACCCCCCCTTGTGTACGCACCTGGACCTACAACCCACTTTTCTTTTCAAACATTTTTCGGGACCCATATAAATTTCGTTAGCCATGAAAACCAAATAAAAAAATTACAATTGTTTAATGTATGCCATTTTAGAAGTTTTTTAATAACTAAATAAATCAAAATTTATATTTTTTAGGTATTAAGGAAATATTTAATTTTTAATATAAATAATAATACAAAAAAAAATGCATGTAATGATACCGAAAAATGTATATTTTGATACACAAAAGAAATGAGTGCGATATTTGTCCTGGACTGTTTTCATACGAAATACCTCCACCTCAGCTCAATTTAACACAATGCGTTTATAGATATATGAAATGTAAATAAGATTTATAAATTAAGTCGGACTAACTCTATATTTCTTTTATTTGAAAATTGAGGCTTCAACAGCAAATATTATTAGCTATTAAATGTTAAATATTTGATGTGTTAGGTGTTAGTGTTAGGTGTTAATGTAAAATTACAATATTACATATGAAATATTATAAAGGTAAAGTTAGATGAAAATTAATATTTACTAATATATTTGTGATACTTAATAATGTGACAAATTTCCGAGTTTGTTTTTCGCCAAGTACTTTTATTATGTTGGATAGCATGTTCAGGTCGGTGCGTATTGAGGTAAATTATGTACACTCCTCCACTATGTGTTCGACAGTTAATGATTAGTGGTATGTGTTGCGTATTGGTCTGAGGATTTTTTCTAATTAAGTATGAGTGTTTGAGAAAAAAGTGTTCATTTTAATCTCCTACAAATTTAAAATAGTATAAAATAGTACGGTTTCGGGTTTATTCGAAAACATTTTTATGCAATATCATATGACATACATTGTATAATATATATATAAATATGAATTTTTTAAATTTTAAACAGAAAACTTATCGCGGCCCAATCTTAAAGCTTACGCGACCCAAAAGTGTCATGCTAACCGCTTACGCGATCCACCAGTTGAAGACCACTGCACTAAGTGATGTAAAACGTGCTTCAAAACCTAAAAAAATTGGTACTTAAATTGAAAAAAAATAAATCCTAGGAAGGGGCCCAATATAATTACCGCACACGAGCCTCCTATTTTGTAGTTACGGCACTGATATATATACCGTATTTCTGGAAACAAACAATATTTTAAGAATTTATAATTATCCATAGAATAGAAACGAAAAAGCGTATTGTTATTTATAGCTGATAACCTGATTTTCCAAACTAAATAGATTTTTTATAAAAAAATTATAGATTTTCATATATTAAATTAAATTTTTAAATTCTATTTAAATATATTCTGATCATAGTAAACAATTTTCCAAGATTTTTGACATTTTCCAGGGGGAGACGTGACCCTCTCTTGCCCCCCCTCCATATAGGCGTCCATGCATATAGGTGGAAATGCTCAATTGGTATTTTTATTCAATTATGAAAATAAAAATCTTAATAAATTCAATTTTACTCAAAATCTTATCTTATTTACCCCATATATTAAATTATTAAAAATTATATTTGTTTTCGTGCGTATCCGTCTACTGAGTAAATTATTATTTTTATGATTATAAAAAGTAAAACTATTATTTCAGAACTTCCTATATTAGATAAAAATTCAAATTCAAATACAAAATCGTATTTATAGTAAACAGTTTATGAATTTTTACGAATATATAAGACCATATTAATCTTATATGATTCATGATTCATTGAGTGTGTTAAAAAACAAATCAATCTTCGACATAATTATCTTTATATTTATATATCATTAAAACGTGAGGCGATTTCTTATGATAATTATATCTGAAGTTCTACTTGATCGATTTTCATGATTTCTTTTTCTAATGCAAATACTCGATGTGCAGAAGAACCATCAAATGAGAAAAGTTCAAAAAATTAATTATTTAAATAGTTGTTAGAAATATTAAGTTTGCCGTATAGTTAAATGACAACTACGGCTGCAGCCGGCATAACCCCCACTACTCCTACGTCTGCTGCAGTCTTGCTGATTTGTTATCCTTGGCAGCGATGTACATTTATATTTTACATTGTGGCATTGTGCACCGTTGCGTTGTTTAAAAAAAATTACTAGCATATCTAACATTTTGTATGACCTTTTGACCATACTAATCGATAACCATAACATTAGGAAAAAATTTTAAGATACATAATTTGTATTCCACAGTAATCGTATGCGTCATTAATTTTATCAATAAAAACGAAAATATCGGTTTCCATTTCATAGAAGTATAATATAATAAAAGTCCAAAAAAGTAATGTAATTATCATTACAACAATATGATATATAATTGCTGCACTAACGGTAAATTTTATTATATTAATCTCCTTAAAAATAATTATTTTAACGATTTACTCAATATTATAATTATTACGCATTGGTTATTATACGAAATGTGTGTACAAATTAGATTTAGATTAGATCTGTACACACAAATCGCTCTGCAAATACGAGTTTATATTTCTACAAACTGTTGAAGCGAAATCGTCTTGAAATTCACAACATATCACTGTAGACCTCCGCACTGTGTGGTTTTATACGAACTCATTTTTACGACCAAACGTCAAACAATAACACACTACTGCAAAAAGTAAATAAATAAGTTTAATGCTCTTCACGGAACGATGTTCAAATGATCTACGAAATTCTCTGCGTTAAAATACTTTTTGGTTCAGCTCAGTTTTAAAAGAAGATATATTTATACTGTAAAGATACATAAAATGTCAGTCTCATGATAAATTACAATGTTAAACAATTTATTACGTGGCATTATCATACATTACACGGATTCGCCTTTAATTACTATACATTTTTATATAGATATTCGGGTGGCTAGTCCGAACACGATATATAAATAAATTAAATATTATTTAGGTATAATAAACAATAACCATGTATATGGGTAGTATTTGACGTACATATTTGGTGGATTGTGTGCGGTAGCTTGAAACGTGTCATACCTATGAATTATGAAATATCAAACCAACATTATAGTCGACAAATTTTTGTGCATTAGGTACCTACTGAAATTGGTTTCATTTAAATTTTATAATAAACTAAACACGGACGCAATTCAAACCGAAAAATAATGACGATCGTTATTCATCCCATTATATTATAAGTAGCTGAAATAAAATTTTGCAATTTTCTTTATCCATGCATACTTTAACGTATCTATTTTAAATCTACGGTACACAGGTATTTATAGTAGTAAATACGCTGATGTAATATAAGCAATACGAATGTACTACACAATTTGTGTAATAAATAATAAATAATAAATAAAAACAATAAGATGTTTAGTTTAATTTGCTTATCAGAGAATCTTGTAATAAAACAATTATGTTTAAACAATTTAACAATTTAAAAACAATTAGACTTTCGATCTTATTTACTTTGTATATACTTGATGATGAATATTTAATTCGAAACCGGTCGTGTTTTACAAATATAATAATACTCCAGATTAAACTTTTATTTATTTATTTTTTTGTATAAATTATTTCTTTATTAATTTATATATTAATTAGGTTTTGTTATACATTTTAGAACTCGCCAATTATTTCGTACGAAATGATAAGTAAAAATTAACATTTTAGTTTCATCAGTACCCGAATACTGTAGTATATAAACTTTGTACATACAGTATAAATAGATAATCACGTATTAACCTGAAGATATATGCGTATTTTTTACCTTTAAATTTCGCAAGAATGGCGGAAACTCGCCGATGATTTCTTTGATATTGCTTTTGGTTATCGTCAACTTCGTGAGTTTCGGATATGGTCGCAATGACACGTCTGGGTCGAAGTAGTCCAACGGCCAATGACAGAGCATGAGAGTTTGCAATAAAAAATAACTGACAACAATTATTTTCTGTATAGATACGGGCGTCAGTCATTTCCGCCAAGTATCGTTTCCGCCAAAACGGAAATTTTTGATTTTGTTTCCATTAAATCTATTTCTACACAACTGTCTAAATCAGTGGTTCTCAACCTTTTTTTATTCACGGAAAACTTTTATACATTACAAGTTTTCGCGGCACACTCATGCACTTGACATAAAAAAATTTGGCTACGCGCTAAGATATTCAGTTTTATCAATCGGTATTTTCATTTTATTTCCGAATAACTGTACAGTTCTAAAACTAAATAATTCTAATCTACATACGTATGATTTATCTGTACAGATAAACAAATGTAAAGAAACAAAATACATTCTGTTTTCAATATTTTTATATCAGACTTTTTTGCAGCACACCAGTTGAGAACCACTGGTCTAAATTATAATTTGAGGACCATTTAGAATTACCTAGATACCACCACGGAGAGGCGGTTTTTATTGACCCCCCCCCCAAAAAAATTTTCAACTTAATTTTCGGATTCATATTTTTGAACTTCAATTGAATTTTATAATTAAATTTGTATATATATTACCATAAATATAAAGTCAAATATTTCTTATAGTTCTATTATTTATTATTTATTATTTCAAATAATTGTTAAATTTTTTTTTAAAAACCTCATTCTTAAAATTTTTTTTTTATATTCTTCTATTGCGTTTGTTGTATTTATTAACTGTTTTTTTATATTACATCTTACAGAATAATTTATAAAATATATACGTATAAATTCTAATATATTCAATAAATACGCATATTATTCAGTGAATAATATTCACGATTCACATAGCTATGTTGACACAGTACTGAAATATTCAATCGCAGAACTCCAATCATCCCGATAACACCGTCACTAACTACGCATGATATATATTATAACTTATAATATTATATAGTTCGATTTATATTTATTTATAATGCGTGGAAATTATTGAACGTAAAATCAATTATCTCTTACATACCTTCAATATAAAATTATGGCTTATCCCAAATCTCGATGTATATATCGATAATCGATAGAACTGCAGATAAATAAGGGGTTCTCAAACGCCATCACAATAATATAAGTAGAAATAAATAGATTTGACGGAAACGATACTCGGTGGAAACGAAAATCAAGTTTTTTGGCGGAAACGATGACCACCCATAGATACAACCTATATTATATAATATAGTGACGATACTGCGTATTTCTTGATTTTGGAACTGACATTTTTAGCGGAATTTTTGTAGGCTCATAATAAAGGCGGATATTTTGTATGGACATTGAAGACTTAAAAAATCCATAGCTTTCACATGATATTACATTAATATTTATTTTGAAACCCCTCTTACAATATGATAACGTCATATTTTTTTCAATAAAAAAAAAAAAAATTATTATTATTATTATTATATTATATACCTGTATTAAACAGTAAAACGAAATGTATTTAATTATTTTTAATTTGGGTGATCGAAAAACAACATCAACTGAAATAGCTCGATCTTTGGACCCTCCCAAAGCTGTCAGACTGTCACAAAAACCATTTTATAGGTACATTAGAGATGAGATAGAAAAATTATAATAAAATAACTAAAAAAACTAGAATTGCAATTTGTTTATGATTCTACTTTTTTACTTTTAATCGGAAAAACTGAAAACTTAACTAGTTGGGTGTACATTAAATACTAATTATGACTAAATCACATAAGATAAAATTTTTGGTTTTTAATCGGAATTCGGTATAAATAAAATTTCCATCTAAGAAATTGTAGTAAAATATAGTTTAATCCTCCCACATCCTCCAAAAAATAATTTTACTAGTGAACAATACAAGTTATATAACTTCAATTCCAATAAACGCACTAACAATTACTATCCATTCTAACTAAAGAGATATGTAGGCACTACTTATATACATCGTAATTTACTGCAATTGTCCATTACACACAACACAGTAATCTAGATATAAATGTACCAGCATATGCGAACGCGTATCTAAACAAATAGGTAATAGCATCAGTGGCGGCTCGTGACTTGGACAACGGGACGATCGCAGCTCCTATTATTATTTATTAAAAGAATATAATTAATTCTGATTGTAATAGTGTCCCTATTAATAATTTATTAAATTATTTAATATTTAAAATACTAAAATGGTGATTTTCAAATAATCGAAATAATCATTTTAAAAATATTGTTGAGTGCGATGGCAGCGATTGCCATGTGCGTATGCCATAAGTACCATAATCGTCGCCTCCCAGGCTACTTTATATACTATAGTATATATCATGTTAGGTCACGCGAACGTGTGGATACGAATACGTTTAAGCCGCGGTATCCTTCAAGCGTATGGACGATACACCACGTCGTCCAAAAATATAAATATCAATAATAATTTTTTCCAGGCTAATCTGTACAGTTTACCCGCGGATTACGGTTTCCGATCATGAAATAAGGAATTTTATTACTATCGATTAAGAGAGTGTCTTATTTAATCACATACGTTTTAAACCGTGATTGTATACTAGCATTTGGACAATAATAAAATTATAATATCAAGAATAAATGGTTAGACTATTTCATATTGTCGCACTCCCTTCATCAGCACCCATGAGCCGCCACTGAATAGCGTATTAAATTATATAACCTGCACGAGATTAATAAACTACCGAATAGTTAATTTTATACGACCAAAATGAGGGAAACCTAAAAGCTTCGTGTAGTACCCAAAGATAATGGTCTTTTAGTCCTCTATCACCCTGTTTCCAATACCAATGACATTGAACTCTCAAGGTGCCTTCCCTGATCTATACATCTGCAATCACGCCATTGACCCGAATTACTCACTCTTCGGCCAAATATTCCTCGTGAAAACCATTACTGCAAGCTACGCGATAACCGTCCGTTTTGTTCACGCTAATACATTTGTTCTGCGGCGTCGGCAACGCACAAAATTCGCTTAATTTTACCGTAACTGCCACGACAATTGGAGGCGTTGGAATTGTCGCCAACAATCTGAAAGAAGTTATTTACACACGTCTACCTTACCTGTACGCACGTATAATCGCATTTGGTCGTAACTCACATTAGAAGAGCCACGTACCCGGAGACGTCCATTTTCCACGTCATTTTCTCAGGATATGCGCGCACTATAGTGTTAGGTATGATTCATACGTATACACACGTATACGGTGATGAGGCAAGGTAAACATATTTTATAGCGCGACAAACAAACAAAATAAATAAATTTAACAAAAAAGATAATTTGTTGTTCAATTGCACCAAACAAAAACGTTTTGAACTATACATAATAATATAATCTATTATGGTAATATATTTGATAGTTAATAAATTTTACTTATAAAGCTATTAAAACACTTTACGTATTCCTATTCACTGTGTTAAGTGTAACATGATTTTTTATACTTAAATATATTTAATACAAACCACGTTGACCGATTTATTATTAAAATATAAATAAAAATAACATTTATATCAAAGAAATCGAAGTAGTTTATCTAATTTGATAACATCAAAATATCTATAAAGTGAACAAAATCCGGCTACAACGTTATTGGAAAAAAATGTTTAAACATTGTATTGCTTAAAATAAAAATAACACAAAATTGTAATAATAAAAAATAAACAAATTAATACTACGGTTTTTGACAGTATTGAAATGGTATTCGTAATATAACTCAATGAAGGTGGCAATATGTCTTATTTTCTTTCTACTCGGGTAAGTAGGGTATAAATAAATTATCTAAATATTAAACATTCCGTGTTCGATAAATGTAAAGTAGATTACTGTGTTTTTATTATTCACATAAATATAATTTATTATATGTGCAGGTGTGGCATATAAATTAAAATAATGTGCAAACTATTAATGAGGCATATATTCGGCATAATATTATATAATATGAGCTGGAAGGAAATATATCATTGTTTTCCCAAATTATCATTTTATTATTAATTATAATCGATCGAGAAGTACGGAAAATCATGTACACAGTACACTCGTATAAATTTAATCGAGTCATATATGAACAAAAGCATTCCTCGTTTAGTGACAAAAGTTAGTTTATAATAGGTATGCAAATTAACTGTAGCGTTCTACGAGGTTCAAAGCATAGAAGTAGTAGATGATGTAATTCTTAATGTAAATACGTAAGAAAATCATCGTAATTTATATTAAAACTCGATCTAGTCAACGTACGGCAATTCCATCTAAATCAACATGGATAAATACGATAAATTAAATGTATATGTTTGTGTGTATATGGTTGTATAATTTGTTCGAAGATATTAATATGACACGTGGATTAAAAAAAATATATATTTAAAAAAAAAGATTGAATAAAAATGAGAGGAAAAACTATTCGAGCGTAATAATTACAGATGATACAAACAATTCGTAACGTTTAACTCTTAAAATAATGCATATGTAGGTTAACGGTTATAATAATATAATACAACCATCATCGGGAATTGATGATGTTTGATAGATATAATACGAGTGATTGATAGAGAGAGAGAGAGAAAAAAATCCGCTAAATAAGATTCGCATATTGTCGAAGCACATTTGAACGTGCAAAAGTCGCAAAACAAAAATAAAATAAAATTAAAATGTAAAAAAGTAATGTTATATTGTTCCATCATACAATCGGCAATCAAAGGATTCGGTTTCGACGTGCGTTTAGCGATCACCAAGAAAACCACGACGTACTGCTGCTCTTATTGGGCTGCGGAGACGACGACGGAAAGAACATATTTGTCAGTGGCAACAACCGATTAGGAGATCGTGGTTCGACACCATCTGTTTGTTGTTGGTCGACGTCGGATTCGTCCGGAGCGCAAGCGTTCACTTTGGTGTTAGTTTGCCGTTGCATTTCGCATTCGTATGAGCGTACGTCGGCGATCGTCATCGATATCCAATCGTCGATCCACGCAAATGCTTGACGATGACCGAGCAGCAGAATCTCACGAATCGTCTGCGCGAAAAGAACCCCCAAAACACATACATTATATAATACAATATTAATATTACACAAGGTTGGCCTGGATACCAGAGGGCCCAGACAGGAATTTTTATTTAGGGCACAATGGCTTTTTAAAAAACCAAAAAAACAATGATAGCATAATATTAACTCTTAAAATATATTTATTTAATATCTAAAAATATGAATAAAATACACTTTGAGTACTGTATACAATGTATATGATACATATATAAATCAAAAATGAATGCTATTTTTTTTTTTAATATTAAGCTATATTAACAGTAATAAGTGACAACGTTATTTTATATTATTAAAGTTATTGTTTGACAAATGAATTTGAAATATCGTTAATTATAATTTCCACTGTCGACTATATTGTCTTCTATTAAAATCAACAAGAAAGGTACCAGAATATTTGACTTGAGTCTATTCTATCTATATATCTAGTCTATTGAGAACTATTCTTAATCATTTTTAACTTAGAAAAATATTTTTCACAAGTTAAGATTGATAGTAGTATCATAAATTATTTATTATTCAATTATTAAATAATAAAACATAGAATAATATTGGGATATATAAAAGGATATACTTATTTTTATTTACATATAAACGTTACATTAACAAAAAAATTTAAAAAAAATCAATATGTCCTCTAGTTTAAATTTTTAAAAATCTGACAACCCTAAATTAGACAGTTCTGTATTATTCTTAATTCCGTTATGTGTTTAAACATATCTTTTAGCAGTCATTTATAGTGATATAAATTTATATTTTTAATTTTTTCATATTCGCTTTTGGACTTTTCGCAGTCCAGCACTCAATGGATTTTCTGTTCTTGATTTTTTTATCTTAACCAGTTCAAATAGTGAGTTTCTTGCGCTAAATTGTATACATATCTTTTTACCTTTGCATTTTACATCCAAAAAATCAATTTCATCTATCCCTGTCAAGGAGCTTTCCCTTACGGAGAAGAAACGACATCTGATTTAACGTACGTATTTATCGTTATATTAAACGTATTACCAAATTACGATTACTCAAGATATCACTAATCACGTAACTTGGACTTTAAACTGCGCAATCAATCTGAATTCCATAATATGCTTGCACTCTTCACCAAATTAGTAGAGAGCGATTTATTCACATGGATCCCATTGAACAACAAAACAAAAACTCCGTAATGAATAACAAATCTATATCGCCAATAAAAATAATTAATTAAATCACTAAACAAAAATCCAATTCTACTGAACTGTTTCGCTATAAATACAGAAACTAGCATATCTGATAACGGTGTCTTTAATAACAACTGGGTTGAAGTAACTTCCAGGGGCGGATTGGCCTATCGGAAAATCGGGAATCTTCCCGATGGGCCGATCTTTATTAGTGCCGCTCTATATTATTATATAATTACCAAAAAAAAGTTTATTGTGTAAAATAAATAAAAATCATTAAAAAAATAAATATATATTTAAAGATGCATTAACATCAAATTTCATGTTCAAGTTGGAACTGATTAATCATGTGACTTACCCAAAACTATTATAACTATAATTATAGTAAAGTTATTGTAGATTTTACTAATTTAGGGGTGAAACTAAACAAATTTTGAAATGGATACAAAATAAAGCATTTTTTGGGAGGGGGAGGGGTAAAATAGTTTAATTTGCAGTTCATGGGCTGGTTTATTTCATATTTTCTGGGCCGAAAATAATTGCCAATCCACCCCTGGTAACTTCCTCTATAAAAACACAAGCGCTCAAAACATTCTTCCACAGGGAACCCCTTCCTTACTTTATATATACTATAAATTAACCAAATTCAAAATTTGTCACTGAAAACTAACCCCTTGGTCTCAAGTTGACAAAAATGACCAAACTGAGACAATGGACGAAGATGTACTAGTAATAGAAGAAAATAAACCACTACCAATACTTATCAAAAGAAAAATAAATGATTTCAGTTCTTTCTGCACTAATATAAAAAATAAAATTAAATCCACAACCGAATTTACATGCAAAAGTACAATAAATGCCTTAAAACTTGAAACTGAAAAAATAGTCTTTTCGCTCAATTATAAAATATTTAAAAGAAAAAACATCGTCGATTTTTATACATATCAATTAAAAATCAAAAAAGCGTACTGCGTAGTAACCTGAAAATAACATACATCAATGAAAATCAAATTTATTAAAGAAGAACTCGGTCAAAACAGCCATTTAGCGCAAAATATTACGAATGTTCTTCAAATCTAACAAAAATTCCTTTACCATTATTTTTTATTAACCTCGAACCCACTCTAAATAATAAAGACATTTTCTCGCTAACCTCACTTTGCTACACCAAAAACAAAGTTTAGGAACCCAAAGTACGTAATCAATTACCGTAGTGTATAAATTGTCAAAATGACGGTCATACACGTCATTACTACAACAGCAAGCCTCGTTGCGTGCGCTGTGGAGAACAACAAAGCTCTGAGTCCTACACCAAGAACCGGAATCTTCCTTCCAATTGTACACTATGTGGAAGGGATCATCCTGTAAATTATCGAGGCTGTCAAGTTTTAAAAAACCTACAAGCTCGGGGAACCAAGTCAGATCGTCAAAACAAAATATTCAATCCAACTATAAAAATCATGTAAATGAACCCATATTGTCAAACCTAAATATAAACAATAACACAGGTCCTAATTTAAATATTAAATCATCTACCTAATGCCCGATTACTAAAAAATAATACACGCTTAAATAACAATGTACAATGCCAACAAAATCAAAATACCAAATCTGTAAACAATATAACGTCACAATTAACAACATTCATAAACGACTTAAAATCCATTATAAACCCTCTTATAACTCTTCTAACTCAATTAATACGTCAAGTACTTCTTAAAAATAATAATGTCAACTAACTCTAACACCACACCTCATTTATCAATAATTCTTTGGATAGCGAGTGGTTTAAAAAAAACATGCAAATAAGCTATACTGCTTCTTACATAACAAAAACATTGATTTAGCATTTATCTCTGAAACCAATTTGACAAAAAATACCAATTTCAAAATTAATGGGTATGAAATAATTCGCGCAGATCATCCTTAACTAATTAATTAACTAGCGACATCCGACATCAACAA